CTTTGCCAAGCTAGTTCCAAGTAGGTGCTTTAGACCACTGAGCCATCTCTCCAGCCCCTCAGCTTCTTCTTATAACCAAGTACTTTATATCATTGCTTTGTGTGTATGGATTGTCTTCTAATTATTAAATTCTGTTAGTTCTTTGTATATCCTAGATACAAGACCCTTATCAGATAAATGATTTACATTTATCTGTGTATTAAGGAATTTGTCTCCAGAATCAGCCACCTCCACCCTCCAGATGTTTCCACATGATAACTTGATTTCGTTCTTGATGAGATGCTATATTTTATTGGTTTGCTTTCTTACAGGTGAATCGATTTAGTAAGGTGGAAGACCGAGCAATTTTTGTCACTGACCGTCACCTGTATAAAATGGATCCTACTAAACAATACAAGGTGATGAAGACTATCCCCCTGTACAACGTGAGTACTCTGTGCTTCTCTTCCCACGGCAGATTCTTAATGTGGCACTCATGGGCCAGCAGTGGGCCGAGACTAACCACAAGAGTCTTCAGGTCTTTCTAGAACCCATTCACTCCTGACCCTGCTCACCAATCTCATTTCATGCAGATACACAGTTTCTTAGCAGAAGGATTCAAAGTTTCTAATAGGTTAATGAAAACATTTTTTAAAACAAATATGGGAAAAATATGGATTCTACATGGTCTTTATTCCTAATAATATTTGCTGCTTAGTTTTGCTAATGTATAATATGTTTTCTTTTCTTTTTTGTGCGGAACCGGGGATTGAACTCAAGCCCTTGAGCTTGCCAGGGAAGCACTTACTCCACTGAGCCATCTCCCTGGCCCTTCATATTTATTTACATAAGATTTGTTTTCTTGGAAATGGAATCAGATAGAAAAATGATACAGAATTTTATGTGAAAACATTGCTGATCTTTTAAATTTAAAATGCATATGACTTCCGGAAGTTCTTTTCGGCAATATATTATACTTATATTCACTCGTGGTGTGATGTGCAGTCTGAATCTACTCTGTTGTCCACTGTATCCTTAAGGTCCTCTAATTCTGTAGGGTCGTTTTATTTGCAATATGAAATGTGAGTATCTTCTTGAGCCTCGATTTAAATTTTTCTTCTGTATAACCATGTCTGCTTTATAAGTGAGACATGGGCAACACAGAGACTCGCAACGCTATTCTGATTCTTTAGAAAGATCCTCCTAGATCTTTTTATTTATCAGGTAATTTTTTCTGTTAGTCCTTAAAGAAAGAAGTCTGTCTGATACTAGGATCTGTAAGGAGCAGTATTTAGAGATTATTGTAAACCCTTGTGGTTGCTATAAAAATGAATAGGAAACATTGTTTTGTGCTTTGCTGCACCAGAGGTCCTTTTTGTTGTAAGGAACAGAGATGGCAGACTGTACCTGGCTGTACAGAATGGTTCAGATTGCCCAGATTGCCCGGGGAGATGGCTCAGTGGAATAAGCGCTTCCCTGGCAAGCGAGTTCAATCCTTGGTTCCACCAAAAAAAAAAAAAAAAAATTGCCCAGATTATGGAGCTAGATTCCTTTTTCATTTTGACTGGTTTATACTTACATTGCTTTCAGTCATCATCACTAATGACAATAATATTGTATCATATTAATGATGTCACAAAAATTAGCAGTACCTAATTGCCGTAGTAAATGGGAACATCATATGGACAAAACATATTGTTAAAGATGTTCTGTGTTTTACTCTAGTCCTTTATATTCTAGCACTATTTTTACATACCCGCCTAATTTCCAACAGCCAGTATTTTTATTAAAACATGATCTTTTAACAAAAAGATCAGCCAGGCATGGTGGTGCATACCTGTAATTCCAACAATCTGAGAGGCTGAGGCAGGAGAACCGCAAGTCTCTGGGCAACACAAAGCCTAGCAAGATCCTGTTTCAAAAAGTAAAAAAATACTTTCAGCCAGACCCCACTGTCACGCACAGAAGGTTGACAGTGCTTAGGCATGAGTGAGTCATGGGTGTGAGGTATAAATATCCAGGACCACCATTCCACAGCCAAGATAATTCCCCAAAGTTTCCCTGAAGGAACCAGGTGTAGTTGCCCCAGCATGGCTTCCTCTGCTCTCCCTCGCCAGAGCCCCTGCACCTCCAAATGGGTTGTGTACACTCATCAGCCTTGGCCACAGGGTTTGCTAACTTCAGAAGAATCTACCCTCCAGGACAGGCAGGTTGGATGGGAAGGAGACTTCAAATGTATAAAGTGAAGCAAATATGGCAAAATACGAAGTCTTGAGGAAAAGGCTGTGGATATTTATTGTATTACTTCTGTGCCCTTCTGTAAGGTTTAAATATTTTTGAAATTAAGAACAAACTTTAAGACAAGGAACCTTTGTTTAAAAAAAGTGAAAAAAATTTGAACACAAGTTTAACTGTGCTGACTTGTGCATAACTTATAAGAATGCATTCCATAAATAATCAGAATTCTAATACTATAGAGTGGGAAAGAATTCAGCACTGAAGATTAAAATTTAAAAGTGGATCACTATACAGTTGCAAGCAGAAATTATGAGTCTAGAGGGAAAATAAGAAAGGTTTATTCAAGAACATCCACAGTTAAATGATGGGGACAGGAATCTCTGAAGGAAGTGGAATAAAAAGCAAATCTCTTTATGGTTCTCTATTTTCTCATATCTCTTTCAGTGTGCTAAGTGAGCTTTAATTTCCCTTCAAATCCATAAGGTTATGAGTTATTCTAGGAAAGCAAAGAGCCATGAGAACACCATGTTTAGAGCTAGATTGGAAAGTTTTCAGAAATAAAGAGTTGTCAATTAAAAAAAAAAAAAAACAGCTGCGGGATCTCCAGCTCACTCTTCTCTCTCCCCTTTGGTGTAGCTCCTTTCCTGCTGTCACTAGGCCCTGTGGCATCAAGGAACAGCCTGCACATATTATCCTCAGTGATGCTTTGTTTGTAATAAGAATGTGTGTGGCAGTAAGGAAGAGGAATCTCAGGGAAACCTAACCAGTGCTGCCATCTGAGGCAGACCTGTGGGACTCGGTGATCCTACAGCCCTTTGGCTGGACAGTTACACTTCTGCCTCTTTCAGTCCCTACTTCTCTTTGTGTCTTCTTATTGACAGTCAGCTCTTTCTTGCCAGATATTGTGGTCAGCTCCAGCCCAGGTCAGAATCAGCCACCCCAACAAGTTAGTCACATTCTATCCTGCAGTAACATACTGTGTAGTATTCTCAGATGAGGCCTCTCCATAGCAACCGATTCTGCACGATCTCTATACTTTGTTCCTTGTCAAACACTTGAAAAATCTATGTATAGCCTTTCCTGATTTTTTCAGAGATAACATGGATAATTCTTATAATTCATGTTGGGCACAATTGATCTTTTCCCTTCATTGTTTTGTTTTGTTTTGTTTTTAATGCTAAGGATTAAACTCAGGACCTTGGGTTTGCCAAGCAATTGCTCTACCACTGAGCTACATCCCTAGCCCTTTTTTCAAATTTAGTTAGTTAGTTAATTAGTTGGTATTGGGCCCGTCTATGCAGCTTGGGCTTATAGTGATCCTTGTGTCTCAGCTTCCTCAGTGCTAGAATTATAGGTGTACACCACCATGCCCAGTTTTCAGCTGGCATGGTGCAATATTGGGAATTGAATTTGGGTCCTTGTGTATGCCAGGAAGGTGCTTAGACCACAGAGCTATCTGCCCAGCCACCATCCTTTTTTTATTTTGAGACAGGATCTCACTAAATTGCCCATGCTGGGTTTGAATTTGTAATCCTCCTGCCTCAGCCTCCCAAGTATCTGGGATTATAGGCATGTGTACCACTGCACCTGGTATTAATATTTTTGCTGTTGTTCCATGGCCCTTGGCACATTGGAACTTCAGTGACAGTTATGCTGAAAATTAGGTCATGCCAGTAGATTTTCTTGTGGGAAGGATCCCTGAGAGAGAAATGTGTTCCATAGGTCAGTTTCATCAGGCATTCTGTTGCCAGGATACCAGTCTTTGTCAAGCAGGTCCTAAAATTTTATTCATGAATTTCAGTGTGGATAGTTCTATTTCCTTGACGGGCTGCAGCCAGGCAATATAGGACTGATGTTTGTTGCTTTACTAATGCACCATAAAAATACCCAACCACTCCCTCTGTACTGTGTCCCCTAACTCAGTGCACTTGTATAAATCAGCAACAGCTAAGTGCCTCAGCAGCTAAGCTGCTCAGCACTGATGGACACATCAGCTGTTCCCCAGCAGGTCACCAGCAGGAGAGTAAGTGCATCAGGCACACAAACAGTGGCCTTCCCACCCCTCCTGCTGAGGGAGAGAGCCTTTGCTCCTCCCTAAGGTGCTACCACCAACTGCACGCCCTCTGACTTATTCCTGGTGTTCATTTCTCTCTGTTAGATCTTGAGTTACAATGAAGAAATTTAAGGGACTTCAACAGAAGGTGAGAAGGAGTGTATTAGGTTATAACTTTCAGGGAATCACCTTAATTTGATATTTTAGGCAGCTATACACCATGATCTGACCACACAATACATAACCCATGCAATTGAAGTAATTACTGAGTATTCATTATATGGTAGCCATATAGGTGTTCAGAACACTAAAGTATCAAAACAGTCTCAGTTCCGTCCTCAAGGAATTGCTATTCAAGTGGGAAAAAGCAAATATATGTATATGCATATGTATATATGTATGTATATGCAGGTATAACGTGTATCTTATAGTCCATAGAAGGTGTGAGGGGGAGAAAAGTAAAATCAGGAGGAAAAAATAGAGGACATGAGAGTTATTATAATTTTAAATATGGTGGCCAGGCCTTCCTGAGAAGTTGCCATTTAAGCAAAAGCTTGAAAGAGTTAAGAAATGAACCCCTATGTTTACTTGGAAGAAAGTATTTTAGGCAGAAGAACACCACTGTTTCCTTGAGCAGAGAGGAAGAAGCTTCCCCAGGGCTGGAAATGTTTAATAGCTTGATCTATGTAAACATTCATCAAGCTGTTTACTTAAGATCAGTGTGCTCTACTGTGTGCATGTCACACCTCAATTAAAAGGGCAGGCAGAGGAGAGGAAAAAGAAGACCGGAAGCTGGTGATAAGGAGGAATGTCAGTCAGAGAGGAAAGTAAAGTCTCTAAGATAAACGGTCATTCAAGCCTGAGGAGGTCTCCACATACCTGAAGACAATAGCATGTGAAGCCGTATGCCCAGTACAGGGGACATTATAGCAATGTTGGTCCCACAGCTTGGCTAAAGAAAACTACACCTCATGTCCTCTGTTGGGAGAAGCAGCGCTCAGCTGTTCCTCAAGGGAAAGAAAGACACTAACTACAGCAGGGTAGATAATTGTTTTAGGGGAATCCGGTCTGCTCCTGTTGTTGTTATGTCGCTCTCTCTGTTCCTAATATTGATGATATTTGAGATTTGTTAATTTTTCATCTCTTGTAAGATCA